ACGATAAACTACATCTGGCAGAAAGGCCTCTGATCACGAGGTTTTGAGGAGCGAGGAAACACCATTAAATTGCTGGTGTTCCTAGTTCCACCATGATCCGTGGTTGTAGCACCTGTTAGCGCTAAATCTATGGCCAAATAGTGAACCCTCAAACACTATGAATGTATAAAAATACATTTTAGTGAACCCCACACAAAACAATACTATGAAAGTATAGAAACACATACTTGTAGTAAAAAAAAATATCAGCAGTACATTTTAGTTATAGTTGAAGGCATGTAATTACGTTAAAAATATTTAGATGTCGGCATTAAATAACCCATAGAGGTGTTGATATGCCGCTAAACAATATCAACTATACAACCAACACTCTTTTTTTTCTTCTTTTTTTTAAGCATTTCACCCCAAGAAAGGTGGGAAGCCACTAGGACGCAAGGGGTTACAGAAAATTTAGAGCAAGATCAGATAGGAGTGATAGAAGAAAGGATGAGGGTAGTGGATAGATCAAGGCAACTGGAGATGTCGATTGACATTACACTTGAATAGCTGGAGATTATAGCTCACAGAGAAACAGGAGAAGGGAAGGGAGTTCCACAGGCGAGAGGTGCGAGACATGAAGCTATTAGAGTAGAAGAGACGGCTACATTTAGGAGTTTCGACAGTGAAGGGGTGAGAGTGGGATGCCAGCCTTGTAGGGCGCTTAAACTCATGACGTCTGGGAACCAGCGAATGCAGCTCCTCGGAGCAATTTCCATGAAAGTATTTGTAGAACAGACAGAGGGAGGCATTAATCCATATAATTACCCTAAAATTTCTTAAAGAAATCAAACTCTATTCCAAAATATAAATACAATAAAACTACAATATAAAACACGCTTATAAAATTACCGCCTCTAGTAATTATGTCCACACGAATATGTATATACACAAAAGCTGAGGATCATCTACCATGTATTCAACTGTGAAAGTAGAATAACATATATTATATTTTTAGTACTTCAAAAATCCCAAGAAAATTAAATTTCGGCATCAAATGACCCATAAGGTGTTGATATGCCGTTAAACAAACAAAATCAAGCAGACGTCATGCCTTCGTTAAATACTCCATACCGTCACACCTTATTATCTGAGCCGGAATGTTAATCTGTTGCTGTGCGGTTTTATAAAGATCAGTTCCCTTGTAGTTACAATTTTTCTTCAAACTTCCACATTGCTCACATGCTTTGTTCATGTTATTCTCACTATTCGTCTGTAGAAGTTCATCTCTATCGATTCAACTCTTTCCAGCATTCACTGCCGGGTAGGATTTTAGATATTAGCTAATGTTTCATAATTAAGCAAAATCTGGTATGCTGACCAGCGTCACCCTTTATAGCAGGGGTCTGGGTGACTCCCTAATGGTCAGTGAAGAGTTCCAGGGACTCCGTGATAGATAAGCTGTCCAATGAGGGTCGGTGTACGAATGACACTGAGCTAAATGTTAGTGTTTATGTATGATGTATTCTTCAGTGCAGATTAAAGGAAGGCACTCAGCTTGACGATCAACAGAATCAGAAGCACGGAGGGACATCTTGGATTTCCAGGTGAAGACTGGATTATTTAAAAATTCATTGAAGAGAAGAGACTTTAATTATTTCTTGAAATTAATGCAGTTCTCCTTGAACTCAAGAGAAAAATATTTCAGACGATGATATCGAGATCATCACCAATCACTTTGCAAAAGCTTCAAGATGATTCCCGTGCACAGTTTGAAGATGTAGGAGAAAAAAAAATGATGATGATGAGGGTTCAAAAAGTGCAGTACGTGACTCCCTTTCTCAGCCGTTACACATGGCAGTTGTGAAACGGACACCAACTCAGCCGCGCCTACTTCGACTTCCTCTTTGTCCGTCTGTCAATCCGTACATCCAGCTCTATTACACGCAGTCCGCTGAATGACTCCCTGACCATTGGTGCTGCTGGCGCCCCGCTTTTTATGCTATTCCAAGACTGCCAAAATTTGCATGCGTGAAAATATCGTCTCGTATTGGACGCTGTGTCTTTAATAGCGGCCATATTTCTTTTTGTCATCACTTTGCAGGCAAGACACGTTCACGCTCGTTTCGAATTCTGAGGTAGGTCATGTCTTTCGTCAAGGAAAGACATTAAGAATATGAAAGTACCAGTATAGATTGTACCACCTTTTGACGTGGACTTTGAAAATGTGCACAGAAAATCAGAGCTTGAATGCGAACTCTCTGAATTTAGTGTGGATATTGTAGCAAAAGCCATTTTCGGGAACAAAAATTTTGAGAATAGAAATTTTGAACCTGATCTAAATTTCTTAACTTTTCATACATTTTAATTGCCAAAATTAGTGCGAGTTCAAAGATATTTTAAATGAAGTTCGCTGGGTAAGGAAGAGAAACGAAAGTGGGTGTCTGGTCGAAAAGGTTTGACGACTCCTGCTTTATACCAACACGTAGAAATACATTGAGTAAAACAGACGATTCCGTATTTT